GGTGTGCAGACCCCTGAGCAGACAGGTGCCCGCAGGCGGGTCTGGGACGGGCCTGGGCCCCTCTCGCATGGGGTCGATGGCCTTGAGCACGTGCGCTTTGGGGGCAAGGGAGTGAGTGAGTGAGTGTGGGTGGGTGGGTCCGGAATTCCGGCCCGAGTTCGGTGCCTTTTGAAAGGCATCCGACTCCACGACTCCAGAAGCCGCCCTTGCTGCTGGGAGGCGTCCTGGCCTAGGAAGACCCGCCTGGGGAGAGGCGGTCTGACCCTGACAGGAGCTTCTAGGTTCCGCTTGCTATTGGAAATGGAGGGGATTGGCTCCCAGAGCTTTCGCTGTGTCTCTGGTGATGGGACGCATGTGCTAGACGCTGTCATCTCTGCAGCTCCCATCTGGTTGCAGGGAGGGGGCTTCTATAGAGCGTGCTTGCTGTCCTGGTTTCGGGGAGGGTGAAAGAAGCACCCTTTCACTTGGAAGTTGTAGGTTATTCACCCGTCTCCGGCCTCCTCCTTGATCTACTGCAGTGCCTGGAGCTGGCTGGGCCTCACCCCTGCAGACCTCCCCGTGGGGGCAGGGCGTGGAGGCCCTCCACCACTTGCACGTGTTTAAACTTCCAAAGAGGTGGCGCTGTGGGCTCCCAGGAGGGCGGTGGGAGGCTCTGTCCCACCAACCCAAGGGAGGCCAACGCCTTTGCTAGTCCTTAAGGCCCTTGTAGAGTTTTGTCTGAGTCCGTGGTCGGCAAACTGGCCCCTTGAGTGTGGCTCTTCCACAAAATACCACGTGCGGGCGCGCACGCACAGTGCGATTGAGACTTCGTGGCCCGTGCCACGAGGCCAAAGAGCCGCATGTGGCTCGTGAGCTGCGGTTTGCCGACCACTGGTCTGAGTGATGGGGGTGTCCTTACAATGGCAGCCACTTCCGGAATCCTCCTTGATCCCTGCTGTCATCCATGGTAGTCTCAGGAGTCTTCAGAAATACCTGTATGATCTGAAAACTGAGTCCTGGCTCAGTCCCAGTAGCTTGGGAAAGCTTGCTCCATTTTTTAAGGAAAGCTATTCAGCCTCACGTGAACAATTATGTAGTGTCTGGCTTGGGTTGGTGATGGCACACTGGGAACCCCGGCGGCTGAGGCTGGGTTTTTGGGGTCTCCTTCCCCTGCCTGGGAACAAGCAGGGGTTGCACTGAGCTCTCTGATGCCAGGTGGGGGTGGGGGGTGGGTTGAACTCATCCAAGTAGCCAAGAGCATGAGGCTTGGAGGGATGAGTCAGATGGACCAGCACATGTGACCCTTCCCTACTCCCCAGGCCACGGTGAGCAGTGACAGTCTAATCTCTGGGGACCCAGTCCATATCTCGCTAAATGCCAGCAGGGTGACTCAGGGCTAGGGCCCGCTCACCTGGGGCACACCCACGCCGGGAAGACCAGTCCCGGACAGCAGCTCAGGCTGTGGGCTGCCGCCCTCTGGAGAAGGGCTCACTGCTAAAACCCCTTTTGTCCCAGAAAGAATGAGGCTGACGGTCAGGCAGGGGTTAAATGCAGGGTGGCAGCCTTTAAAGTCTGGGGCAGATGTGGGCTGCTCTGCCTGCCAGACTAGATGGGCTGCTGCCTCGTGCATCCTGTTGTGGAGGCAGAACAGGCCACGGCGAAGGGGGAGAGGGTCAGGGGAGGGCTGGGTGCTGGTGTAGCTTTTGGCTATGGTCTAGCACACTGCCCCGCCCTCCCCCTCGGGCCTTCTCTTAGCAGAGCCTGGCTGGGGCTGGGTTATACTTGAAGACCTGTGGGCCCTGACTGGTTTGGGTCAGTGACTGGAATGTCCTGAATCACAGTCTGTCGGGGTGCTGGCATCTGTAGTTTTTGAAGACAAGTTGGGGAACCCCAGGTGTAAGGGGTGGAAGGCTCTGTGTTCCCGCGGGGAGTTTCTTCGGTGGCGGAGCAGGTTTTCTGTGATTCTGTACAGTGGCCTCCCCTTATGCACCGTTTCATTTTCTGCGGATTCAGTTTCCCAGAAATACAGCAGTTCCTAAGGTTTATATTGCGCCCCCTCTGAGGAGTGTGATGAGATCTCTCTCCATCCCATCCCTCCCCTCCCCTCCCCTCCTCCGTGAATCGGCCCCCTGTCCTGGGTCTCCACATGGTAGACACTACC